TGTTCAGTACATCTACACTTTACTCAGTAAGACAGTCAGGAGTACATTCAGGGTGTTCAGTACATCTACACTGTACTCAGTAAGTCAGCCAGGGGTACATTCAGGGTGTTCAGTACATCTACACTTTACTCAGTAAGACAGCCAGGAGTACATTCAGGGTGTTCAGTACATCTATGCTGTACTGAGTAAGTCAGCCAGGAGTACATTCTGGGTGTTCAGTACATCTACACTGTACTCAGTAAGACAGCCAGGGGTACATTCAGGGTGTTCAGTACATCTACACTGTACTCAGTAAGTCAGCCAGGAGTTCATTCAGGGTGTTCAATACATCTACACTGTACTCAGTAAGTCAGCCAGGGGTACATTCAGGGTGTTCAGTACATCTACACTGTACTCAGTAAGTCAGCCAGGGGTACATTCAGGGTGTTCAGTACATCTACACTGTACTCAGTAAGTCAGCCAGGGTACATTCAGGGTGTTCAGTACATCTACACTTTACTCAGTAAGTCAGCCAGGGGTACATTCAGGGTGTTCAGTACATCTACACTGTACTCAGTAAGTCAGCCAGGGGTACATTCAGGGTGTTCAGTACATCTACACTTTACTCAGTAAGACAGCCAGGAGTACATTCAGGGTGTTCAGTACATCTACACTGTACTCAGTAAGTCAGCCAGGAGTACATTCAGGGTGTTCAGTACATCTACACTGTACTCAGTAAGTCAGCCAGGGTACATTCAGGGTGTTCAGTACATCTACACTGTACTCAGTAAGTCAGCCAGGGGTACATTCAGGGTGTTCAGTACATCTACACTGTACTCAGTAAGTCAGCCAGGGGTACATTCAGGGTGTTCAGTACATCTACACTGTACTCAGTAAGTCAGCCAGGAGTTACATTCAGGGTGTTCAGTACATCTACACTGTACTCAGTAAGTCAGCCAGGGGTACATTCAGGGTGTTCAGTACATCTACACTGTACTCAGTAAGTCAGCCAGGAGTTACATTCTTCAGTTCACATCTACACTGTACTCAGTCATACATTCAGGTCCAGGGTGTTCAGTTCAGTACATCTACACTGTACTCAGTAAGTCAGCCAGGGGTGTTCAGTACATTCAGGGTGTTCAGTACATCTACACTGTACTCAGTAAGTCAGCCAGGGGTACATTCAGGGTGTTCAGTACATCTACACTCTGTACTCAGTAAGTCAGCCAGGGTACATTCAGGGTGTTCAGTACATCTACACTGTACTCAGTAAGTCAGCCAGGGGTACATTCAGGGTGTTCAGTACATCTACACTGTACTCAGTAAGTCAGCCAGGGGTACATTCAGGGTGTTCAGTACATCTACACTGTTACTCTACACTCAGTAAGTCAGCCAGGAGTACATTCAGGGTGTTCAGTTCAGTACATCTACACTGTACTCAGTAAGTCAGCCAGGGGTACATTCAGGGTGTTCAGTACATCTACACTGTACTCAGTAAGTCAGCCAGGGGTACATTCAGGGTGTTCAGTACATCTACACTGTACTCAGTAAGTCAGCCAGGGGGTACATTCAGGGTGTTCAGTACATCTACACTTTACTCTGTAAGTCAGCCAGGGGTACATTCAGGGTGTTCAGTACATCTACACTGTACTCAGTAAGTCAGCCAGGGGTACATTCAGGGTGTTCAGTACATCTACACTTTACTCAGTAAGACAGTCAGGAGTACATTCAGGGTGTTCAGTACATCTACACTGTACTCAGTAAGTCATCCAGGGGTACATTCAGGGTGTTCAGTACATCTACACTTTACTCAGTAAGACAGCCAGGAGTACATTCAGGGTGTTCAGTACATCTATGCTGTACTGAGTAAGTCAGCCAGGAGTACATTCTGGGTGTTCAGTACATCTACACTTTACTCAGTAAGACAGTCAGGAGTACATTCAGGGTGTTCAGTACATCTATGCTGTACTCAGTAAGACAGCCAGGAGTACATTCAGGGTGTTCAGTACATCTACACTTTACTCTGTAAGTCAGCCAGGGGTACATTCAGGGTGTTCAGTACATCTACACTTTACTCTGTAAGTCAGCCAGGGGTACATTCAGGGTGTTCAGTACATCTACACTGTACTCAGTAAGTCAGCCAGGGGTACATTCAGGGTGTTCAGTACATCTACACTTTACTCAGTAAGACAGTCAGGAGTACATTCAGGGTGTTCAGTACATCTACACTGTACTCAGTAAGTCAGCCAGGGGTACATTCAGGGTGTTCAGTACATCTACACTTTACTCAGTAAGACAGCCAGGAGTACATTCAGGGTGTTCAGTACATCTATGCTGTACTGAGTAAGTCAGCCAGGAGTACATTCTTGGTGTTCAGTACATCTACACTGTACTCAGTCAGACAGCCAGGAGTACATTCAGGATGTTCAGTACATCTACACTGTACTCAGTAAGTCAGCCAGGAGTTCATTCAGGGTGTTCAATACATCTACGCTGTACTCAGTAAGTCAGCCAGGGGTACATTCAGGGTGTTCAGTACATCTACACTGTACTCAGTAAGTCAGCCAGGGGTACATTCAGGGTGTTCAGTACATCTACACTTTACTCAGTAAGTCAGCCAGGAGTTCATTCTGAGTGTTCAGTACATCTACACTGTACTCAGTAAGTCAGCCAGGAGTACATTCTGGGTGTTCAGTACATCTACACTGTACTCAGTAAGTCAGCCAGTTCATTCTGGGTGTTCAGTACATCTACACTGTACTCAGTAAGTCAGCCAGGAGTTCATTCAGGGTGTTCAGTACATCTACACTGTACTCAGTAAGTCAGCCAGGAGTTCATTCTGGGTGTTCAGTACATCTACACTTTACTCAGTAAGACAGTCAGGAGTACATTCAGGGTGCTCAGTACATCTACACTGTACTCAGTAAGTCAGCCAGGAGTACATTCTGGGTGTTCAGTACATCTACACTGTACTCTGTAAGTCAGCCAGGAGTACATTCAGGGTGTTCAGTACATCTACACTGTACTCAGTAAGTCAGCCAGGAGTACATTCAGGGTGTTCAGTACATCTATGCTGTACTGAGTAAGTCAGCCAGGAGTACATTCTGGGTGTTCAGTACATCTACACTGTACTCAGTAAGTCAGCCAGGAGTACATTCAGGATGTTCAGTACTCAGTAAGTCAGCCAGGAGTACATTCAGGGTGTTCAGTACATCTACACTTTACTCAGTAAGTCAGCCAGGAGTTCATTCAGGGTGTTCAGTACATCTACACTGTACTCAGTAAGTCAGCCAGGAGTTCATTCTGGGTGTTCAGTACATCTACACTTTACTCAGTAAGACAGTCAGGAGTACATTCAGGGTGCTCAGTACATCTACACTGTACTCAGTAAGTCAGCCAAGAGTACATTCTGGGTGTTCAGTACATCTACACTGTACTCTGTAAGTCAGCCAGGAGTACATTCAGGGTGTTCAGTACATCTACACTTTACTCAGTAAGTCAGCCAGGAGTACATTCAGTGTGTTCAGTACATCTATGCTGTACTGAGTAAGTCAGCCAGGAGTACATTCTGGGTGTTCAGTACATCTACACTGTACTCAGTAAGTCAGCCAGGAGTACATTCAGGATGTTCAGTACTCAGTAAGTCAGCCAGGAGTACATTCAGGGTGTTCAGTACATCTACACTGTACTCAGTAAGTCAGCCAGGAGTACATTCAGGGTGTTCAGTACATCTACGCTGTACTCAGTAAGTCAGCCAGGAGTACATTCAGGATGTTCAGTACATCTACACTTTACTCAGTAAGTCAGCCGGGAGTACATTCTGGGTGTTCAGTACATCTACACTGTACTGAGTAAGTCAGCCAGGAGTACATTCTGGGTGTTCAGTACATCTATGCTGTACTGAGTAAGTCAGCCAGGAGTACATTCTGGGTGTTCAGTACATCTACACTGTACTCAGTAAGTCAGCCAGGAGTACATTCAGGGTGTTCAGTACATCTACGCTGTACTCAGTAAGTCAGCCAGGAGTACATTCAGGGTGTTCAGTACATCTATGCTGTACTCAGTAAGTCAGCCAGGAGTACATTCAGGGTGTTCAGTACATCTATGCTGTACTGAGTAAGTCAGCCAGGAGTACATTCAGGGTGTTCAGTACACCTACGCTGTACTCAGTAAGTCAGCCAGGAGTACATTCAGGGTGTTCAGTACATTTACACTGTACTCAGTAAGACAGTCAGGAGTATATCCAGGGTCTTCAGTACATCTACATTGTACTGAGTAAGGCAGTCAGGAGTATATTCAGGGTCTTCAGTACATCTACACTGTACTCAGTAAGTCAGCCAGGAGGACATTCAAGGTGTTCAGTACATCTACACTGTACTCAGTAAGTCAGTCAGGAGTACATTCATGGTGTTCAGTACATCTACATGTTACTCAGTAAGACAGTCAGGAGGACATTCAGGGTGTTCAGTACATCTACACTTTACTCAGTAAGACAGTCAGGAGTACATTCAGAGTGTTCAGTACATCTACACTTTACTCAGTAAGACAGTCAGGAGTTCATTCTGGGTGTTCAGTACATCTACACTTTACTCAGTAAGACAGTCAGGAGTACATTCAGGGTGTTCAGTACATCTACGCTGTACTCAGTAAGTCAGCCAGGAGTACATTCAGGGTGTTCAGTACATCTACACTTTTCTCAGTAAGGCAGTCGGGAGTACATTCAGGGTGTTCAGTACATCTACACTTTACTCAGTAAGACAGTCAGGAGTACATTCAGGGTGTTCAGTACATCTATGCTGTACTCAGTAAGTCAGCCAGGAGTACATTCTGGGTGTTCAGTACATCTACACTGTACTCAGTAAGTCAGCCAGGGGTACATTCAGGGTGTTCAGTACATCTACACTTTACTCTGTAAGTCAGCCAGGGGTACATTCTGGGTGTTCAGTACATCTACACTTTACTCAGTAAGGCAGTGAGGAGTATATTCAGGTTGTTCAGTACATCGTCATTGTGTATTTAAGGGAATGGTGGTGACCCGAACATGCTGGATGAGAACCAACTTACACCTCTTCACCGTGCAGTCATTATGACCTGTGATGTTCAACTCATACGCCTTCTGTGTGACAACGGATCGAATGTAAATGCTGTAGATCTCCATGGCAATACCCCACTTCTGGCCATGTGTGATACAAGCCTTTCCCAGATGTACATGTCCGCTGATGAAGACATCCTGCCCCCAACAGAGGAGGATGATGTTCCCAGTACCTGCAACCTCAGTAACTCCCCTAACAGGAGAGAATGCCTCGGCTACTTCTTGTCCAGGGAGGATGTGCAGGTTAGTGTGTCTCAGTTTCTTCTCAGCAAACTTACATGATTCCCACACAGCCATGGTCTTCAGTTACACTAAGCTATCACCAGAGAAGGCCTGATCCGACAAGGCAGCCAGTTCCATGTGCTTGCTGCTTGTGATCAGGGAAGGTCTGATTTAATATTCAGATCAATATATGTCACAGCTGGATGTGGTGTTGTTTCAGATCAATGTATGTCACAGGTGCAAGTGGTGTTGTTTCAGATCAATATATGTCACAGCTGGAAGTGGTGTTGTTTCAGATCAATATATGTCTCACCTGGATGTGGTGTTGTTTCAAATCAATGTATGTCTCACCTGGATGTGGTGTTGTTTCAGATCAATATATGTCACAGCTGGAAGTGGTGTTGTTTCAAATCAATATATGTCTCATCTGGATGTGGTGTTGTTTCAGATCAATATATGTCACAGCTGGAAGTGGTGTTGTTTCAGATTAATATATGTCTCACCTGGATGTGGTGTTGTTTCAAATCAATATATGTCTCACCTGGAAGTGGTGTTGTTTCAAATCAATGTATGTCTCACCTGGATGTGGTGTTGTTTCAGATCAATATATGTCACAGCTAGATGTGGTGTTGTTTCAAATAATTTTTTGTCTCATCTGGAAGTGGTGTTGTTTCAGATCAATATATGCCTCACCTGGATGTGGTGTTGTTTCAAATCAATATATGTCTCACCTGGATGTGGTGTTGTTTCAGATCAATTTTTGTAACACCTGGAAGTGGTGTTGTTTCAGATCAATATATGTCACAGCTTGAAGTGGTGTTGTTTCAGATCATTTGATGTTTCACCTGGAAGTGGTGTTGTTTCTGATCAATATATGTCACAGCCGGATATGGTGTTGTTTCAAATCAGTATATGTCACAGCTGGAAGTGGTGTTGTTTCAAATCAATTTTTGTCTCACCTGGATGTGGTGTTGTTTCAGATCAATATATGTCACAGCTGGAAGTGGTATTGGTTCAGATCAATATATGTCACAGCTTGATGTGGTGTTGTTTCAGATCAATATATGTCACAGCTGGAAGTGGTATTGGTTCAGATCAATATATGTCACAGCTTGATGTGGTGTTGTTTTACATAAATATATGTCACAGCTGCAAGTAGTGGTGTTTCAGATCAATTTATGTCTCACCTGGAAGTGGTGTTGTTTCAGATCAATATATGTCACAGCTGGAAGTGGTATTGTTTCAGATCAATATATGTCACAGCTTGATGTGGTGTTGTTTCAGATCAATATATGTCACAGCTGGAAGTGGTATTGGTTCAGATCAATATATGTCACAGCTTGATGTGGTGTTGTTTTACATAAATATATGTCACAGCTGCAAGTAGTGGTGTTTCAGATGAATTTATGTCTCACCTGGAAGTGGTGTTGTTTCAGATCAGTATATGTCACAGCTGGAAGTGGTATTGTTTCAGATCAATATATGTCACAGCTTGATGTGGTGTTGTTTAAGATCAATGTGTGTCACAGCTGGAAGTGGTGTTGTTTCAAATCAATATATGTCACAGCTGGAAGTGGTGTTGTTTCAGATCAATTTTTGTAAGACCTGGATATGGTGTTGTTTCAGATCAATATATGTCACAGCTGGAAGTGGTGTTATTTTATATCAATTTATGTCTCACCTGGATGTGGTGTTGTTTCAGATCAATTTATGTCTCACCTGGTTGTGGTGTTGTTTCAGATCAATGTATGTCACAGCTGGAAGTTGTGTTGTTTCAAATCAATATACAGTCAAATCCCGATGAGTCGAATCGCTGGGGACCAAGTAAAAGATTCGGCTTATCGATGTATTCGAGACATAGGTATGTCTATGAGGGTAGAAAAAAAAGATGATTCAATATTGAACAATTCCTTTATTCAGCACATCATATCTAAATATAGCACAACAATACATTAGGTGACATAGATAATGGATAATAATGGATAATGGAAACAAACATTTTACAAATGAGAACACATTTCAGTACTAGCACAATAAAATACAAAATACATTTACCTCTTAAAATCCATGAACAAAATCTATCGGCAATCGATAGATATACTTGGACATGCCGCCATCTTGAATCTTATTAATACAAAAAGATGAACTCACTTCTGGAAAAAGTCTGACATTAATGTTTGTTTCTGTGAATTTCCCTTACATTTATGCACAAATTCACGGACGCTTGCCAAGTGGGAAAAATGTTCGTTGTTTGTACCTGGAACCGACTCGAAATTCCTCCAGTCCTTCACAGAACTTTATCGCTTCCGATCACGGATGGTGGTGGTTTTTGACGGCAGGGTGTGTCTCGTCTTCATCATCAGACGAAGTCGTTGTTGTGACAGGTGCTAATTCTTCCGCTTCGTAAAATCACTAATCTGCCTTTTGAACTCACCCGACAATAGCGGAAAGGTGCGAGCAGCTGGTTTGTTAATTGGATCAGTTACATGTAGTTGGATCACCAATTAACTTCTCATTGACCGACTTCGGCTTATGTATACAAGATTACTATTGTTTGAATCTCAAGGGACCAAATTTCCATTTCGAGTCATCGTGTGTATTTATGAGACGAATTCGTGTAACCGGAAATCAAATGATGACAAAAATAGCAGGGAATGGTCGGGACCGACAGGTACTTCGTGTTATGCATAATATTCGAGACACCGGCATTCGACTCATCGGGATTTGACTGTATGTCACAGCTGGAAGTGGTGTTGTTTCAGATCAATTTTTGTAAGACCTGGATGTGGTGTTGTTTCAGATCAATATATGTCACAGCTGGAAGTGGTGTTATTTTATATCAATTTATGTCTCACCTGGATGTGGTGTTGTTTCAGATCAATTTATGTCTCACCTGGATGTGGTGTTGTTTCAGATCAATATATGTCACAGCTGGAAGTGGTGTTGTTTCAAATCAATAGATGTCTCACCTGGATATGGTGTTGTTTCAAATCAATGTATGTCACAGCTGGAAGTGGTGTTGTTTCAAATCAATATATGTCACAGCTGAAAGTGGTGTTGTTTCAGATCAATTTTTGTAACACCTGGATGTGGTGTTGCTTCAGATCAATATATGTCACAGCTGGAAGTGGTGTTGTTTCAGATCAATTTATGTCACACCTGGAAGTGGTGTTGTTTCAAATCAATATATGTCTCACCTGGAAGTGGTGTTGTTTCAAATCAATTTATGTCTCACCTGGAAGTGATATTGTTTCAGATCAATATATGTCTCACCTGGATGTGGTGTTGTTTCAAATCAATATATGTCTCACCTGGATGTGTTGTTGTTTCAGATCAATTTATGTCTCACCTGGATGTGGTGTTGTTTCAGATCAATATATGTCTCACCTGGATGTGGTGTTGTTTGAAATCAATATATGTCTCACCTGGATGTGTTGTTGTTTCAGATCAATTTATGTCTCACCTGGATGTGGTGTTGTTTGAAATCAATATATGTCTCACCTGGATGTGGTGTTGTTTCAAATCAATGTATGTCTCACCTGAATGTGGTGTTGTTTCAAATCAATATATGTCTCACCTTGATGTGTTGTTGTTTCAGATCAATTTATGTCTCACCTGGATGTGGTGTTGTTTCAAATCAATATATGTCTCACCTGGAGGTGGTATTGTTTCAGATCAATGTATGTCACACCTGGATGTGGTGTTGTTTTAGATTAATTATGTCTCACCTGGATGTGGTGCTGTTTTTCAGATTAATGCCCAGAATAACCATGGCCAGACAGCACTGTTCCACTTCTTTGCCAACGGTGATATGACAGGTAGTCTGTCATTGCTGTCTAAGGGAGCTGACCCATCAATACGAGGCACTGTGTGGGAAGCACATCGCAAGAAGAGGTAGGTCTGACACTACATATATTTCAATGAAGCCAGAACATAAAATATAATTAGTATTTATATGGTGTATCAGAATGAAACAAAAGATATTCATAATATTCTTATATTATTTGCAGACTGGTTTCACCTCTGTTCACCAGTTTCTTGTGGTCGGGCATAACTGGTGCTGTACCTCGGGAGGTGGCCCACGTAGTGGACAAAGGTCAGTCAGGTGCTTTGTAAGTAACCTCACCACGGTTGCTAGCATTCTTCATTATGATAAAGAAGGCTATGTTATCTGTGTTTGATTAAGATCAAATGGACATGTTGACATCTTGGCTGTATTGACTACTTTTAATGGTAGTGTTCCATTTGAGATATGCCCTAGATTCAAGAGACAAAAAGGATGGGATGTAGGGGAGGTATAACTATAGTCCAAACAGGCCTATTTATTAAAATAGTCAATGATAAGAAAACTTGGATCAACTAGTGCCTCCATGATCATAACACTGATTTTTAATGAACACAATATTAACGTTTTCTTTTTAACCCTCCAGTGAATAGCTTTACTGACCTTTCTGTCTCCTAAAATGCTTGATTTGACTGAAATTGCGTAAAGAGATATCATCAGCTGATCCATGGTGGATGTATTCCCCAAACACTGCATTTGTCTCAAAAATTGTAAATTGTCATTTCTTGTGATGCTTTGCTGCAAGTTTCCTATGTTCATTTGCAAAATTTGTTTGTTCACGATATGATATAGTTTTAACAGGGACCGGTGCATGAAATAGAACTTATGCTTTGCACAAGACCAGCAATATTGTGAGGGATGACAGCATGATCAGACATTTCACCTATCCCATCACTGATGTGGTCTTTTTTGTTTGGTAAATGTTTTCTGTTTCTAAAATTGCACTGTTGCTGGTTGAAGTAAAAGTATTTTCAAAGCAAAGGTCAAGAGAGTGAAACTGAGGTGAAGGCAATTTTTAAGATAGCGTGTTACGCAGAGTTGCTTCCCTTCTTTTATCTCAATATCAGTAAACTACTGAACATTTCTCTTTCTGAAATTTGTTGTTATTTTGTGGAAGAAAAGCAGATTTATTCCACTTCTGTGAACTTGTAAACTAAGTAGCTCAAGAAAACCACCTAAGGTCAAGTTACTCAACATAATGTGAATGTGGATGTCTGTGTATTTGCCAGGTTACTTCTCCAGGCCTGAGATAGCAAGTGAACTGCAGGAATACCTAGAGGAAGACTTTCCCCAGTTCAGCCACCTGTACCCCTACACAGCGCGCCTCATCCCACTGATGTTTGGTGGTGTGACATCTACCCTGTCCCAGGCTGCAGCACGGGTCATCTTCCAGCAGTGTCTGCTGGCTAACACACGATGTATACAACGAATCCTGCCTGTAGCAGCCATCCAGAACAGCTTCGATTCTGAGGAGTTGCAGAACTTGGACTTGTATGGTGACTATGTGACTATGGTCCTCAACAGGACAGTTGTGCGTAGCTTGGTACAGCTGTTGGGACTTCCAGCAAACTCTTTGCTGAACTTTGAGGTGGAGCTCCTTCTGCATCAGATGGCTGTTCACTTTGCCAGGTTCAAGCTGCGCCGACCCAATCTAGCCCTGTCTGATGAAGATTACACGGACAGTGATGACTCCATTGATACAGAGGAAGGAGACTCTGATCTGGAGTACTGGTAGAGTAACCTTATGTCCTTTAGTACAGCAGGGGCGATGGGGTAGCCTAGTGGTTAAAGTGTTTGCTTGTCATGCCAAAGACCCAGGTTCGATTCCATACATGGGTACAATGTGGAAAGCCCATTTCTAGTGTCCCCTCTCATGATATTGCAGGAATGTTGCTGAGAGGGGCGTAATACTAAAAAAGAATGACCTTGTGTTGGAGTACTGCTAGAATTACCTTGTGTTCTTAAATACAGCAAGTCTGGAGTACTGCTAGAATTAGCTTGTGTTCTTTAGTACAGCATGTCTGGAGTACTGCTAGAATTACCTTGTGTTCTTCAATATGGTAGATCCTGAGTACCAGTAGATAAAATGCCCAGTCACATGTCAATGTAATCACACATATTTTTCTGGGATTGAAATTGGATATGCATGTTTCACGCTTTGTATCTATGTAACAAGCATTTCATCATTAGAGTTGTCATGCTAATGGATTGCCATCCAAGTACTAGGTCATGATGATAATTTTGTAGAACTCTAACTCAGTCTGGGTGTTTATCCTATGGAAGGTTTTCATGGTGATATCCTGCTGTTCTGTCTACAATCTGTTACTGGGTCATGATGGTCATCTTGTAGAAGGCTGTCGTGGTGATGTCATGCCCTTCAGCCTCCTCTCTATATCTGGGCCAGAATCTGGTGATCTTTTGGAAAACTGATTGTTGATATAATATGTTATATTAGTGTGTTTTATATTATCTGTTTGTGTTACTTGTGGCTGTGTTCCAAATGTTGGTGATTCTGTGGCATCTGATATTTCCTTGTTTTCCATGTGAGCACATCAGTGTAGTGAATGCCTTCATGTTCTGGGCATGTCAGACCCAGATGGTCTTGTATAGTTTGCTGGGTTTTCTGTGTGGACCATACTGTTACAGTTCCAGACTTACATCAATGTTGTTTCCTTGGATTTGTTGACTGCCAGTATGTTGTGAAGGGATGAACTTCAACAGTGTCCTGATACCATGTGTCACCATTCATCACCATACTCCCTTTGCTGGAGTCCATCCTATCATTCTCCAGACTACCCCCACACACTGGACTTGAAGCTTTCACACAAATTCATCCCTGTGTCATTGTACCAAGCATTCATGCTATCCACCCCAGTCATTGATACACCTGGTACTTGAGGCAAGTTTATAATTCCTCTCAGTATCGATACACCCTGTACATGGGGCCATCTTATGATTCATCACAGTATTGATACACCTTTTTACATTAACCCATTTAGTCTTACTTGATATGTCAAAGAACGTGAGATTTGTGGCATTTTGTTCATTCTGTCCGATGAAACATGCATTTGAACTGCTACACAAATACACAACAACATTACTTCAGGGTATCAGTAAGTTTGGATTTATCTTCCTGTATCAGTATGAAAAGTTTGAACAAAAGTATCAGTATTCCTAGAATTGCCCCGAGATAGGGAATGTGATGGGTGTCTGATATTTAAAATCTGTGGACTGTTAACAGTGTTCCAATGTGGAGGCATGTGTTGTGAAACTATATGTTGTGATATGTATGATATGGATATACCCCTAATTTTGATACGCTCCCTCACAGTAATATCATGTACTGTCCCACAGTGTTTCAGTATTGTAACATTTAAGATTATATTGTTGGTAGGCTATTTGCTTGAAGAGGGACAGCAAGGTATACTGTAAACATATTACTATATACATGAAGGTGTAATAACACAGAGAGGTTGTTGGCCTGGTGGGTTGCCATTGTTAGTACAGTGTGCACCTGTATCTTACATATCAGTCTCAGCATAACTGTACTTTGTAGTGTAGACAATCACATAGCTTGCCTTATGGGGAAACACAAGAAATATAAAATTGCATCCATAAATGTACGTGTAATGTGTGATAAGTTTGTCATCCAAAGTTGGTAAGATGTAAACAGAATTCAAGATATATTGAACATAACGTGTACATTTATGTCATATATTCCAGATTAGTAACACTGTCCCACTTACAGGCTGAAGTTAGTTAGATTTGTTGGTTTTGTACCCTTGAAGCACTGGTCATTGCACTATATTTGTCATAGTTAAACTTAATGGTACACTCTACACAACACTACATGTCACCACAATATACAGATGACACAACACTACATGTCACCACAATATACAGATGACACAACACTACATGTTACCACAATATGCAGATGACACAACACTACATGTCACCACAATATACAGATGACACAACACTACATGTCACCACAATATACAGATGACACAACACTAATGTCACCACAATATACAGATGACACAACACTACATGTCACCACAATATACAGATGACACAACACTACATGTCACCACAATATACAGATGACACAACACAACATGTCACCACAATATACAGATGACACAACACAATATGTCACCACAATATACAGATGACACAACACTACATGTCACCACAATATACAGATGACACAACACTACATGTCACCACAATATACAGATGACACAACACTACATGTCACCACAATATACAGATGACACAACACTAATGTCACCACAATATACAGATGACAAAACACTACATGTCACCACAATATACAGATGACACAACACAACATGTCACCACAATATACAGATGACACAACATGTCACCACAATATACAGATGACACAACACTACATGTCACAATATACAGATGACACAACACTAATGCCACCACAACATACAGATGACACAACACTACATGTCACCACAATATACAGATGACACAACACTACATGTCACCACAATATACAGATGACACAACACAACATGTCACCACAATATACAGATGACACAACACTACATGTCACCACAATATACAGATGACACAACACTAATGTCACCACAATATACAGATGACACAACACTACATGTCACCACAATATACAGATGACACAACACTAATGTCACCACAATATACAGATGACAAAACACTACATGTCACCACAATATACAGATGACACAACACAACATGTCACCACAATATACAGATGACACAACATGTCACCACAATATACAGATGACACAACACTACATGTCACAATATACAGATGACACAACACTAATGCCACCACAACATACAGATGACACAACACTACATGTCACCACAATATACAGATGACACAACACTACATGTCACCACAATATACAGATGACACAACACAACATGTCACCACAATATACAGATGACACAACACAACATGTCACCACAATATACAGATGACACAACACTACATGTCACCACAATATACAGATGACACAACACTACATGTCACCATAATATACAGATGACACAACACGTCACCATAATATACAATTGACACAACACTACATGGCACCATGATAAATGTCATCTCAATAAGTATCTTATTGTCACATGGCATCACAAGAACACAACACAGGTTGATGCTTATTTTCTGCAAAAATCAGATAAAGGTTTTCATGTAGTTGTGTGATGCTGAGTGAAACTTCAAGTTATGTTTTTGTTGATCTAAGGCTTTTACTTAATATACATTCCCCTTGTAGTCATCTTTCTGCATGCACTTAGTGTGGATTATTTAGCCAGTGATGAATAATTTCTTCAATCTGAGTCAACATGTTGTGTATATATAGTGAATGCTTGCTGGAATGATTACATTGCATAATTGTCTAATGATTGTTAATATATGATTATTTGATTATTTATTCTTTTGTATGTATATGACGTATGCAGGCTATTTACACTCTACAACTGAATAAAACAACTGTTTCTTTTGATCATGCGTTAAATCATTGTCCAAGGTGCCACATAAACCAGGGTTGCAGAATTCCCCACCATAGTCCCACCTGGCACGAAGAAGACTTTAGACATGCATCCTTCTTCTATGACCTAGATTTGCATTTTTAATTGTTATCTCTCCCGAACTTTCAGTTGAAGTTAGTCTGAGGTGTGGCACATTGTTTCTCATTGTTTGTCTGTCTTAAAGTTTTACATTTCCCAACATGAAACCATGAGGCCTGTGAAGTAGATACTTTGCATGATATAATATTTGCAAGATATCCGGGAACTTCATAATATTGAATTGGATAACATTCCCCCAACCTGGCCCAACTCGCACTTCGTCTTTAATAATAACAAGTTTATTGCACAAGACACAGTTATATATATAGTGACTCATCTAGATACTTGCATTTGCCAATGAACCACACAACTGCATAGTTCATAAGTCGTGTACAATGAAGGGGAAATGCCTCTCTAAGTGTAACTGATATATAAAACTCATCACTATAAACAATGATCATGTAGAAGTGTGTGGAAAACTTATGTGTAAACTTCAAAGTACGAAATTATAAGAATTGATTGTCAGTTTGTGTGTTTGCACTGAAAAATGAACGATGTCAAAGCGTTGTTCAAACTCTCGTGTAAACAACCCTTTGACATCGTTCATTTTCCAGTGCAAATACACAAACTGACATTCAATTCTTACGTAAGTGAACAATAGGCAGGACTGAAGCTGAAAACTATTGCTAGACGTTATGTTTAATCTAAAGGAGATATCCATAATGATGGCAAGTGGGCTTCAGATAAAGCTGTGTAGAGGAAGCTACGGGAAGACTACTGACAGGATGGATCAGATGCGTGGAAGAACATATGATTGTATTTCTGCACCATGGCCGAGGGACAGATTCAGGCCTGCCGCTGGAATGCAAATTTTGACGACAACAATACCAAACAGATAGAAAAATGAATCTAAGATGAAGGGTCCTTTCATTGCAATGCGCCTCAGACAACTGTAGTCACAGATGTTTGGAGGCCATCAAAAACGGCTTTGGAGGTTCACCATGTATGCTTATGAATCGTTGTTCTGTTAAAGCTTTACACATTGTTGGGTTGGCACCACATGTGACATCAGGCCGGGGAACGTTAATATGATTTTACAAGTTAATTCCGATGCTTCAATACCATAATCACTGTATACAGGACATGGGGGACGCATTAATGTAATGTTCATAAAGCTTGTGAAGTTGGCTGCAGACTCCAGAACTGTGAAGCATGGCTAGTTCGCGTAGTTCGTCTCCTAACTATATTTACAGACATACCCAACCAGCTTCGTTGAGCAATAATGTCCAGGTTGTTTCTACCTACATCATTTTGCCAATTTCCTCTCTGTAACCATCGATAAGAATAGCAATGTTCCATAAGTTATTACTTTATTTCGCATTGCTTATGGACGTGAAACTCCAATGGTTTTTAATGCTACCTTGAAGCATTTAAATGCAGACATTACGTTCAATGGATATCTCGTGACCCACCATGGATATGAAGGATGAATGAGTTAACGGAGGTATATTTGATGTTGACTGTCGCCTCCTCCCCCCCTCTCTCTCTGTGTGTTCCCTTTCAATATTGTTTTAGGGTTTTGCTAAATCAATCGTCAAAACACATCCCAATATGCCTCAAAAAGCACTATAAACTCAATGCGGCTAACTGTATAAAACGTCAAAACTTTTTACTGATTTTACCAGTATCTGATACAATGCCACAAAGGAGACTACCAGATGTAAGAAGATTGCTAGCAAATTATTGGAATGCACGACACCGGGATGTCATGCAGGGCTATTGGGCGACAGCTTGACATTCACCACACCGGCATATGTCGACTTTTTCAAAAACACCGTCAAACCAACAAGGTTAAGGACTGACCAAGGCCAGGTCAAACCCGAAAGACATCTCAAGTTGAGGATCGGGATTTAGCAAGCCTTGTGAGCCTTTCACTTTTGTGCAAGCCTTTCACTCCAAATGGCGTCCTGAAGCACCTAAGGTTCCCCAACAGACGTCTGTGCAATAGGATTATAGGACTGTACGAAACCGCGTATAGGCACATGGGATGAGGGCAAGATGGGTGATCAAGCGTCCAGCCTTGACCAATCGTCACCACAGACCTCATTTGGAGTGGTGTTTACCCCGACATCATTGGAATTTGACGTCATAGCGGAAGGTGCATTGGTCGGATGAGAGTCATTTTTTATTGCACGTCCCAGACGGGCGCCAGCGAGTCTCGGGGACCAAGAACAGTGCCTATGAGCCTAAGAACATCAGAGCATCAGTTCCTTACGTTTGTGGATCTGTCATGGTCTGGGGTTGTCTCTCCCATGATTGTAAGCTGGACTTGGTAACTGTTCGTTGAAATCTCAATGGCGACCACGACATCCGGGACATTCTGGATCCTGTTGATAACCACCCATTAGCCACTCGCCCTGTATTTATGGGTGACAACGCCCAACCACATCGTTCCCGAGTTGTGACAGGTTTCTCCAACAACGCTGTAACTCAACTTCCATGGGTTGCTATAAGCCCGGATCTGAACCCATTCCAGCCTGTTTAGGGCATTCTTGGACGCCGAGCGCAAGCACTGGATCCGCCTGTACAAGATCTGGCATGTTTGAAAGCAGCTTTGCGCCGGGAGTGGCAGCAGCTGCCTCTGGTGCGAATCCGGAGACTCACGACAAGCATTGGAGGAGCAGGGTCAAAGCAGTCATCCGTGCACAAGGTGGATATGTACGCTATTAACATTTTTCATGTGATTTGTTGCCTGAAGATGACAGAGAACATTTTCACACTGAGAGACACTCACCTCTTCCATTTTGGAACTCTGCAGCCCCATAGTTGTACAGGGATACATTTCATGTCATTTTGTAAATTAAAATATTGCAAATTTTCATGATTGTGTTGTTATTGTTTAGTCCAAAATGTCAACTTTCAGGCGGGAAACAATGGCGTTTAAGCTCTCCAGTATACATACTAATGGTAATGGTTGCTCAGTTTCATGGCAATATGAAAAAAAAATCGGAGGGTGCTTAACTAAGTTCTATGTGTATACTATTACTTCTCCATATTTCCAAGGTTATTAGAATTGTCAACATGTACTCAACCTTTTATCACCAAATGAAAATGCTTATATTGTTTTCATAAGTTTGCCTCTTTGAAAACCAAATTTCGCATATTAGAATGGGAACGGTAACATATTTTACTCTTATCAAAATAAAAACAAAACTGAAACTGAATTTGGTAACAATCTGAGAGGAATTAAAAACCTCGTGAATATCAACATTGGGGAAAGTGTTGCCACCAACCTGCGAAACCAATCTGATTGTCAAACAGTGATGATTGTTGTGATTGTATGAACCACCACTGGCGTTCAGATTAGTGCCTGGGGTAGACACAGAACACATCTGCCAGTCTCCTCTACATTCTGGCAATCTAACTTCGAATTCTCGTATTAAAACGCGCTTGCCAAGAGGTACGAAATCTAATACAGCAGTTTACGTATCATCAAACAGATCACACCCTACACACTCTAATACATTACCCGAGTGGGTAATTACACAAGATATACAATATACATAGTCATAGTACATATTTCGAACATAATGTGAATCAGTATTGAAATTTACTATCATAAACAGTAATACAGAATATCAGAGAAATACATGAAACATGATACCACGTTCCACATAGACCTGAAGGTAGGGCCAAGGGTTGTAACGTAGAGTTAAGGGAATATAGATATAGATCAAACAAATACATATAAAACAATCAAACCAACGCGGACTGCAGTAAAAACAACAGACCAACTCTAGAGAAAAATTGCATAATTTATGTCACCAAAATAAAAAAGTTGTTTAAGAAACTGTCATCATTTATTTGTGCGTTTTCCAAGTTTGTTATGTATTCAGGCATAAATTGCCGGCTTGAATGGCAATCGTTCACTTGTTTTCTGAACACAGCAGCTATGACTAGGTTAACGAGAGATCAACCACAACAAGCTATTGGACGTCTGCACGCTGGTCAACATGCTCGAGTCATTGCTAATGACTTCAGTTGCAGCGTACGAACGATAGAACGTCTTAGAGTGCGATACAACGCCACCAGCAGCACTGATGACCGTCCACGTAGTGGTCAACCCCGTGTAACAACACGTCGCCAGGACCGTCATATCGTCCATCAACACGTGCAAGACCTATTCGCAAGGGTCAGAGAAACAGCTTGGGTGACCACAGGAAACCAACAGCGACCAGTCAGTGACCTACCATTCGGCGACGTCTCCAAGCCAGGAACCTGTTTTGTCGATGTCCTGCTAGGAGACCCATATTCACCCAACGTCACCGCCGGGAAACGTATCCAAGTGGACACAACAGCGGCAAAACTGTCGTGGGGGACAATGGAGAGGGGTTATCTTCTCTGATGAAAGTCGGTACTGCATTTCAGTGACGTATTATCTTTAAAAAATAGGTTCAAATGTTCCATTGATACTAAAATGTCATTTCCAATATTACGACATTTTTTTTTGCCTTTTAGTTATAACTAAAAGCGCAAAACCCTTTCTATATCCATAAGAAATATGGACTGTAAATGAGTCGACTGTACAATACTGACTAAAGATATCACACCAAGCTCCAGAATCATTTGAACCCGCCAATACCAAACCTGAACCCTAACAGGGAGGCATGGCCCACATGAACACTGTTGTACTTCAGGTACCAAACCTGAACCCGAAGAGGGAGGCATGGCCCACATGAACACTGTTGAACTCCAGGTACCAAATCTGAACCCGAAGAGGGAGACATGGCCCAGATGAACACTGTTGTACTTCAGGTACCAAACCTGAACCCTAAGAGGGAGACATGGCCCAGATGAACACTGTTGTACTTCAGGTACCAAACCTGAACCCGAAGAGGGCGACATGACCCAGATGAACACTGTTGTACTCCAGGTACCAAACCTGAACCCTAACAGGGAGACATGGCCCAGATGAACACTGTTGTACCTAAGGTACCAAACCTGAACCCGAAGAGGGAGACATGGCCCAGATGTACACTGTTGTACTTAAGGTACCAAACCTGAACCCGAAGAGGGAGACATGGCCCAGATGAACACTGTTGTACTTCAGGTACCAAACCTGAACCCGAAGAGGGAGACATGGCCCAGATGAACACTGTTGTACTTAAGGTACCAAACCTGAACCCTAACAGGGAGGCATGGCCCAGATGAACACTGTTGTACTTCAGGTACCAAACCTAAACCCGAAGAGGGAGGCATGGCCCAGATGAACACTGTTGTACTTAAGGTATCAAACCTGAACCCGAAGAGGGAGACATGGCCCACATGAACACTGTTGTACTCCAGGTACCAAATCTGAACCCGAAGAGGGAGGCATGGCCCACATGAACACTGTTGTACTCCAGGTACCAAATCTGAACCCGAAGAGGGAGACATGGCCCAGATGAACACTGTTGTACTTAAGGTACCAAACCTGAACCCGAAGAGGGAGGCATGGCCCAGATGAACACTGTTGTACTTCAGGTACCAAACCTGAACCCTAACAGGGAGACATGGCCCAGATGTACACTGTTGTACTTAAGGTACCAAACCTGAACCCTAACAGGGAGACATGGCCCAGATGAACACTGTTGTACTTCAGGTACCAAATCTGAACCCGAAGAGGGAGACATGGCCCAGATGAACACTGTTGTACTTAAGGTACCAAATCTGAACCCGAAGAGGGAGACATGGCCCAGATGAACACTGTTGTACTTAAGGTACCAAACCTGAACCCGAAGAGGGAGGCATGGCCCACATGAACACTGTTGTACTTCAGGTACCAAATCTGAACCCGAAGAGGGAGACATGGCCCAGATGAACACTGTTGTACTTAAGGTACCAAATCTGAACCCGAAGAGGGAGACATGGCCCAGATGAACACTGTTGTACTTCAGGTACCAAATCTGAACCCGAAGAGGGAGACATGGCCCAGATGAACACTGTTGTACTTAAGGTACCAAATCTGAACCCGAAGAGGGAGACATGGCCCAGATGAACACTGTTGTACTTAAGGTACCAAACCTGAACCCGAAGAGGGAGGCATGGCCCACATGAACACTGTTGTACTCCAGGTACCAAATCTGAACCCGAAGAGGGAGACATGGCCCAGATGAACACTGTTGTACTTAAGGTACCAAACCTGAACCCGAAGAGGGAGGCATGGCCCAGATGAACACTGTTGTACTTCAGGTACCAAACCTGAACCCTAACAGGGAGACATGGCCCAGATGTACACTGTTGTACTTAAGGTACCAAACCTGAACCCTAACAGGGAGACATGGCCCAGATGAACACTGTTGTACTTCAGGTACCAAATCTGAACCCGAAGAGGGAGACATGGCCCAGATGAACACTGTTGTACTTAAGGTACCAAATCTGAACCCGAAGAGGGAGACATGGCCCAGATGAACACTGTTGTACTTAAGGTACCAAACCTGAACCCGAAGAGGGAGGCATGGCCCACATGAACACTGTTGTACTTCAGGTACCAAATCTGAACCCGAAGAGGGAGACATGGCCCAGATGAACACTGTTGTACTTAAGGTACCAAATCTGAACCCGAAGAGGGAGACATGGCCCAGATGAACACTGTTGTACTTCAGGTACCAAATCTGAACCCGAAGAGGGAGACATGACCCAGATGAACACTGTTGTACTTAAGGTACCAAATCTGAACCCTAAGAGGGAGACATGGCCCAGATGAACACTGTTGTACTTAAGGTACCAAACCTGAACCCTAACAGGGAGACATGGCCCAGATGAACACTGTTGTACTTCAGGTACCAAATCTGAACCCGAAGAGGGAGACATGGCCCAGATGAACACTGTTGTACTTAAGGTACCAAATCTGAACCCTAACAGGGAGACATGGCCCAGATGAACACTGTTGTACTTAAGGTACCAAACCTGAACCCGAAGAGGGAGGCATGGCCCACATGAACACTGTTGAACTCCAGGTACCAAATCTGAACCCGAAGAGGGAGACATGGCCCAGATGAACACTGTTGTACTTCAGGTACCAAACCTGAACCCTAACAGGGAGACATGGCCCAGATGAACACTGTTGTACTTAAGGTACCAAACCTGAACCCGAAGAGGGAGGCATGGCCCACATGAACACTGTTGAACTCCAGGTACCAAACCTGAACCCGAAGAGGGAGACATGGCCCAGATGAACACTGTTGTACTTCAGGTACCAAACCTGAACCCTAACAGGGAGACATGGCCCAGATGAACACTGTTGTACTTAAGGTACCAAACCTGAACCCGAAGAGGGAGGCATGGCCCACATGAACACTGTTGAACTCCAGGTACCAAATCTGAACCCGAACAGGGAGACATGGCCCAGATGAACACTGTTGTACTTAAGGTATCAAACCTGAACCCGAAGAGGGAGACATGGCCCACATGAACACTGTTGTACTCCAGGTACCAAATCTGAACCCGAAGAGGGAGGCATGGCCCACATGAACACTGTTGTACTCCAGGTACCAAATCTGAACCCGAAGAGGGAGACATGGCCCAGATGAACACTGTTGTACTTAAGGTACCAAACCTGAACCCGAAGAGGGAGGCATGGCCCAGATGAACACTGTTGTACTTCAGGTACCAAACCTGAACCCTAACAGGGAGACATGGCCCAGATGTACACTGTTGTACTTAAGGTACCAAACCTGAACCCTAAGAGGGAGACATGGCCCAGATGAACACTGTTGTACTCCAGGTACCAAACCTGAACCCTAAGAGGGAGACATGGCCCACATGAACACTGTTGTACTTAAGGTACCAAACCTGAACCCGAAGAGGGAGGCATGGCCCAGATGAACACTGTTGTACTTCAGGTACCAAACCTGAACCCTAAGAGGGAGACATGGCCCAGATGAGCACTGTTGTACTTAAGGTACCAAACCTGAACCCGAAGAGGGAGACATGGCCCAGATGAACACTGTTGTACTTAAGGTACCAAACCTGAACCCTAACAGGGAGACATGGCCCAGATGAACACTGTTGTACTTCAGGTACCAAATCTGAACCCGAAGAGGGAGACATGGCCCAGATGAACACTGTTGTACTTAAGGTACCAAATCTGAACCCTAAGAGGGAGACATGGCCCAGTTGAACACTGTTGTACTTAAGGTACCAAACCTGAACCCTAACAGGGAGACATGGCCCAGATGAACACTGTTGTACTTAAGGTACCAAACCTGAACCCGAAGAGGGAGGCATGGCCCACATGAACACTGTTGTACTTAAGGTACCAAATCTGAACCCTAACAGGGAGACATGGCCCAGATGAACACTGTTGTACTTAAGGTACCAAACCTGAACCCGAAGAGGGAGGCATGGCCCACATGAACACTGTTGTACTTCAGGTACCAAATCTGAACCCGAAGAGGGAGACATGGCCCAGATGAACACTGTTGTACTTAAGGTACCAAATCTGAACCCGAAGAGGGAGACATGGCCCAGATGAACACTGTTGTACTTCAGGTACCAAATCTGAACCCGAAGAGGGAGACATGACCCAGATGAACACTGTTGTACTTAAGGTACCAAATCTGAACCCTAAGGGAGGGAGACATGGCCCAGATGAACACTGTTGTACTTAAGGTACCAAACCTGAACCCTAACAGGGAGACATGGCCCAGATGAACACTGTTGTACTTCAGGTACCAAATCTGAACCCGAAGAGGGAGACATGGCCCAGATGAACACTGTTGTACTTAAGGTACCAAATCTGAACCCTAACAGGGAGACATGGCCCAGATGAACACTGTTGTACTTAAGGTACCAAACCTGAACCCGAAGAGGGAGGCATGGCCCACATGAACACTGTTGAACTCCAGGTACCAAATCTGAACCCGAAGAGGGAGACATGGCCCAGATGAACACTGTTGTACTTCAGGTACCAAACCTGAACCCTAACAGGGAGACATGGCCCAGATGAACACTGTTGTACTTAAGGTACCAAACCTGAACCCGAAGAGGGAGGCATGGCCCACATGAACACTGTTGAACTCCAGGTACCAAACCTGAACCCGAAGAGGGAGACATGGCCCAGATGAACACTGTTGTACTTCAGGTACCAAACCTGAACCCTAACAGGGAGACATGGCCCAGATGAACACTGTTGTACTTAAGGTACCAAACCTGAACCCGAAGAGGGAGGCATGGCCCACATGAACACTGTTGAACTCCAGGTACCAAATCTGAACCCGAAGAGGGAGACATGGCCCAGATGAACACTGTTGTACTTAAGGTACCAAACCTGAACCCGAAGAGGGAGGCATGGCCCAGATGAACACTGTTGTACTTAAGGTACCAAACCTGAACCCGAAGAGGGAGACATGGCCCAGATGAACACTGTTGTACTTCAGGTACCAAACCTGAACCCGAAGAGGGAGGCATGGCCCAGATGAACACTGTTGTACTTAAGGTACCAAACCTGAACCCGAAGAGGGAGGCATGGCCCAGATGAACACTGTTGTACTTAAGGTACCAAACCTGAACCCGAAGAGGGAGGCATGGCCCAGATGAACACTGTTGTACTTATGGTTATTTGAGTGGTTTTCTTGTCAGGACTGGTACCACGCGAGACAATCAGTAGGTAACACATTGCACCTGCCATTAGTTCTATCTTTCCCTTGACATATATTGTCAACACTGAGAAGTATAAAGCATGGACAGGTGACTACATATATCTCAGCTATAATCTTAGTACGTGTCTGATAACGTGAGCTACTTTCGGTTAACGTTTATAGTTCATTGAGCTGGCGGAAATCTGTTGCTGGTGTTGAAGCTGCGTCGACATGCTGCTTCTTCTGACAGCTGTTCTATTGGCGAGTGTTTCAGAAGGTACTGCAGGCACATTATTTTGACCTCTTACTTACTGCATCTCCATACATGGATAAACGGTTAACACCTAACGATACTTGCATCATGAATGCCAGTGTTTCCGTGGCCAATGTGAGGTTTTATTCATTGTGGAAAAATGATATATGTTTAAAGTATGATACATCTTAATCGACCGCCTCCGTGGTGTAGTGGTTAGAGCGTCCGCCCGGAGAGCGGAAGGTCGCGGGTTCGATCCCCGACCGCGTCATACCAAAAGACGTTAAAATATGGAACTTGTTGGTCCCTGCCTGGCGCTCGGCATTAATGGGTACAACAAGGACTGGTCGGCTCGGAGTCAGTATAATGTGTCTGAGTGGGATATTCATGCTTCACTGCGGCATGGTATCTCAGTAGGCTAGCACTATAAAACCAGCTTCAGTCTGGGCTAGTACAAGCAGCCGCACATACACATACACACGCATGCACGTCGTCATATGAGCGAAATATTCTCAAGCACGACGTCAAACCCAATTTCACCTCACCTCACCTCACATCTTAATTATTCCTTATATGTAATTCCCTGTGTAAACACCAACAATGAAAGCTTGAATGTAATGTTACTGAACTATGTCAAATTCAGGAGGATGCTTGTGTTGCAGGTGAAGCGGGAACACAACGCCGTGGGGAGTTCAGCTTTGCTTCCTACTACAATGACCATATGGTACTGCAGGCCAGCCCCTTCCAGGCTACAGTGTGGGGTTACTCCAGTCAGATGGGGGACGCCGTGAAGGTGGAGGTGGACGGTCAGCAGCCCGTGTCCACCACTGTCAGATCTGTTGGGGGCGAAGGGATGTGGTTTGTAAAGTTGCCTGTTATACCTGCTGGATCCACCCCTTACACTGTCACCGCCACATCTTCACTTGGTACCATACAGCTGACAGATGTGCTGTTTGGTGATGTCTGGATCTGTTCTGGACAGAGCAACATGCAGTTCACACTCGATATGGTAAGAACGAACGAATCAGTAAGAGAAGATATCAGTCTTTCATTCGATCATGGGTGATTTCATGAAATCACACAAGATAGCGTGATAATTAGTATGCTAAATTTACCTAGCAATACATTGCTGAGGATAGTACAATGAACCATATGAGAACTGTAGACATGCCCTGGGTGGATTTCTGTGTACTTCCTATCGTCTTCGGATCAAATCTGGTAGGCACAAAATGGAACTGGAGTGTAGATATAATTATGTTGAGGATGAGTACCATTTTATTTTAATACACAAGTGTTACCAGAGGACAGAATTCATATGTAGAAAATTATGAATTTCCAACAAACATGTCACATTTAAATGTCATCTGTCCTGCCAAACAGTTGTACAACACCTGTCTATGTTCATTATTAAAGCTGTGTATCTTACAAATCTTTTTAAATATATAAATGTTACCCTTGAACGTTCACTGTATATTTTCTGTTTGCCTCATGGGACCTATAAAGAATCAACACTACCAACACTAATCATGTTATACTAGTTAAACATTGGACGTTATGAACAATTACTGAAGTTAACAATTGGATATACTTTGCTTTCACTGGGGTTTTACAATAAGATTTTGGTAGAATATGCTCCTCGAAATGTTGATGAAAAGAATGAATATCACTGAAATGGTATTACTCGCAGTCGATATAATATTTCCCTTCTGATCATATTAAACGTTCTGCATCGGAAAGGGCAGTTCTATATGGCTTTATACCAACAAGTGCTTATAATCATTTAATGATTTTGTTTAGGTTTAAAACTCATATAACTAAGTAGATTTTTCTACATACAACCGGTTATCAACATCAATATACCTTTCTTTAAACTTCAACATAAATTGTTGTGTAAAGAAACCGTTCTGGTTAATATAAAAATTATTCTCCAAAATCCATAGAGGAATAATAAGTTTTTAACTTAAAGTACCAAACAATCCAATACCTTTTGAATCCCACTATGTTTAGAGTAAAGAATGATTTACTGCCGACAAAAACTAACTAATAATCTGAATGAAACATGTACAAATTTCAGCTGAACGCAACATCTGATCACAAAGAAATGTCACATCCTGCATAAACAGTGCGTGATGCACGTGCACTCAGAACCAAAGGCGTGTTCGGCTACAGGGACTGACAGTTATTCATGTATTTGAGCTGTGCACACACTTCTGAACTGCCTCCGAGACAGTATACCCATGAACAGACAAAATGCTGAATTGTGGGTATGATATACGGGTGATTTCAATACCGTAAGATGCCCGAATGTTGGGCCAATCAAAACGCCTGATCACAATCACAATCCGAGACTAAAAACCATGAACCAGAAGTGGGAAGGTGTAAATCCAAATATTTATAGCTAGAAACACATTTCCAAAAAAATGTCGGTTCAGCACATATTGCTCATATCTCATAACAGTTTTTAAACTGTATCTTATCACCACTTATCCAATCTATTTAGAGACATGTCAAAGAAAATGACGTCATCAGGAGATAACAGATGAAATATTCCCATAAAATCAATATTTATACATCTTTGACTAGCTGGCAACCTTGACGGACTCCGACCTTACAGTCAAAGAGAGATGTTCGCTCGGGGACAAATGTCTGCCAGAGATGGTGTCAACAGTATATACATTATCCGATGTGTGTATTCCTGCCGGGTCTCCATCCTGTCCACATATAATATAACTTTCCTCATCTACTTGTTCATTTAATCAATTGCACTTCTTTATGTAAATTTTAACATAACTTGAAAAGAGTTTACTGGGCATACCAAGTAATGAGACCAGTGTATTGGAGGGTCATTAGAACTTCCTGTTTTATCAATAGCCATGATTACCCTGAGGGTTCTTCTGAAAAGGAAGTGATCCGAATGGCAGTATAAAGTTAAGTCTTTGAATACATCAGTACATACAGAAGGGGCATTTGTTTTGTTTTTAAAAAAACAACTAAACTTTTAGGTATTTCTGATTGCGTAGCCTCTTGGATTTCCATACACGCATATCATGATCAATATCATTTTCAACCAACTTGTGAAGATCCGCGTTAGAATTGATCTTCAGTAACCCATGCTTGTCGTAAGAGGCGACTAATGGGATCGAGTGGTCAGGCTCGCTGACTTGGTTGACAAATGTCATCTTATCCCAATTACGTAGATCGATGCTCATACTGTTGATCACTGGATTGTCTGCTCCAGACTCGAATACTAGTATTTACAGACCGTCGTCATATAGATGGAATATTGCTGAGTGCGGCGTTAAACAACAAACAAACAAACAAACAGACGAACATTTTTAACCGAAACCGATTCCATAAATCTATAAATTGTTGAATCAGTTTAACTACTTAAATGTCGGTTTCTGTGTTATCGTTGCACGTTGCAGGCAAACAATGCATCAGCAGAGCTACAAGATTCTCTGAACTACCCAAACATACGGGTTTTCACTGTTCAACTAAATCAATCTTCTACTCCCTTGTACGACCTTATCGACGTAGAGGAACCTTGGTCGGTCCCTCATCCAGGTCAGTATTACAAACATTCAGTTTGACATCTTGAGACGGACTTTACAGTTACAAGCACTCATCATGACATCTTGAGACGGACTTTACAGTTACAAGCACTCAGCATGACATCTTGAGACGGACGTTACAGTTACAAGCACTCAGCATGACATCTTGAGACGGACTTTACAGTTACAAGCACTAAGCATAACATCTTGAGACGGTCTTTACAGTTACAAACACTAAGCATGACATCTTGAGACGGACTTTACAGTTACTAGCACTAAGCATGACATCTTGAGACGGTCTTCACAGTTACAGTCAGTATGACATCTTGAGACGGTCTTTACAGTTACAAGCACTAAGCATGACATCTTGAGACGGACTTTACAGTTACAAGCACTCAGCATGACATCTTGAGACGGATTTTTAAGTTACAAGAACTAAGCATGACATCTTGAGACGGACTTTACAGTTACAAGCACTAAGCATGACATCTTGAGACGGACTTTACAGTTACAAGCAGAAAGCATGACATCTTGAGACGGACTTTACAGTTACAAGCACTCATCATGACATCTTTAGACGGACTTTACAGTTACAAGCACTCAGCATGACATCTTGAGACGGACTTTACAGTTACAGACACTAAGCATGACATCTTGAGACGGTCTTTACAGTTACAAACACTAAGCATGACATCTTGAGACGAACTTCACAGTTACAAGCACTCATCATGACATCTTGAGACGGACGTTACAGTTACAAGCACTAAGCATGACATATTGAGACGGACTTCACAGTTACAAGCACTCAGCATGACATCTTGAGACGGACTTTACAGTTACAAACACTCAGCATGACATCTTGAGAGGGACTTTACAGTTACAAGCACTAAGCATGACATCTTGAGACGATCTTTACAGTTACAAACACTAAGCATGACATCTTGAGACGGACTTTACAGTTACAAGCACTCAGCATGACAACTTAGAGACGGACAATACAGTTACAAGCACTAAGCATGACATCTTGAGACGGACTTTACAGTTACAAGCACTCAGCATGACAACTTAGAGACGGACTTTACAGTTACAAGCACTCAGCATGACAACTTAGAGACGGACTTTACAGTTACAAGCACTCAGCATGACAACTTAGAGACGGACGTTACAGTTACAAGCACTCATCATGACATCTTGAGACGGACTTTAAAGTTACAAACACTCATCATGACATCTTGAGACGGACTTTACAGTTACAGACACTAAGCATGACATCTTGAGACGGACTTTACAGTTACAGACACTAAGCATGACATCTTGAGACGGACTTTACAGTTACAGACACTAAGCATGACATCTTGAGACGGACTTTACAGTTACAAGCACTCAGCATGACAACTTAGAGACGGACTTCACAGTTACAGACACTAAGCATGACATCTTGAGACGGACTTCACAGTTACAAGCACTCATCATGACAACTTAGAGACGGACTATACAGTTACAAGCACTAAGTATGACATCTTTAGACGGACTTTACAGTTACAAGCACTAAGCATGACATCTTGAGACGATCTTTACAGTTACAAACACTAAGCATGACATCTTGAGACGGACTTTACAGTTACAAGCACTCAGCATGACAACTTAGAGACGGACAATACAGTTACAAGAACTAAGCATGACATCTTGAGACGGACTTTACAGTTACAAGCACTCAGCATGACAACTTAGAGACGGACTTTACAGTTACAAGCACTCAGCATGACATCTTGAGACGGACTTTACAGTTACAAGCACTAAGCATGACATCTTGAGACGATCTTTACAGTTACAAACACTAAGCATGACATCTTGAGACGGACTTTACAGTTACAAGCACTCAGCATGACAACTTAGAGACGGACAATACAGTTACAAGCACTAAGCATGACATCTTGAGACGGACTTTACAGTTACAAGCACTCAGCATGACAACTTAGAGACGGACTTTACAGTTACAAGCACTCAGCATGACAACTTAGAGACGGACTTTACAGTTACAAGCACTCAGCATGACAACTTAGAGACGGACGTTACAGTTACAAGCACTCATCATGACATCTTGAGACGGACTTTAAAGTTACAAACACTCATCATGACATCTTGAGACGGACTTTACAGTTACAGACACTAAGCATGACATCTTGAGACGGACTTTACAGTTACAAACACTAAGCATGACATCTTGAGACGGACTTTACAGTTACAAGCACAAAGCATGACATCTTGAGACGGACTTCACAGTTACAAGAACTCATCATGACATCTTGAGACGGACTTTACAGTTACAGACACTAAGCATGACATCTTGAGACGGTCTTTACAGTTACAGACACTAAGCATGACATCTTGAGACGGACTTTACAGTTACAAGCACTCAGCATGACAACTTAGAGACGGACTTCACAGTTACAGACACTAAGCATGACATCTTGAGACGGACTTCACAGTTACAAGCACTCATCATGACAACTTAGAGACGGACTATACAGTTACAAGCACTAAGCATGACTTCTTTAGACGGACTTTACAGTTACAAGCACTCATCATGACATCTTGAGACGGACTTTAGTTACAAACACTCATCATGACATCTTGAGACGGACTTTACAGTTACAGACACTAAGCATGACATCTTGAGACGGACTTTACAGTTACAGACACTAAGCATGACATCTTGAGACGGACTTTACAGTTACAAACACTAAGCATGACATCTTGAGACGGACTTTACAGTTACAAGCACCAAGCATGACATCTTGAGACGGACTTTACAGTTACAGACACTAAGCATGACATCTTGAGACGGACTTTACAGTTACAAACACTAAGCATGACATCTTGAGACGGACTTTACAGTTACAAGCACTAAGCATGACATCTTGAGACGGACTTCACAGTTACAAACACTCAGCATGACATCTTGAGACGGACTTTACAGTTACAGACACTAAGCATGACATCTTGAGACGGACTTTACAGTTACAGACACTCATCATGACATCTTGAGACGGACTTCACAGTTACAGTCAGTATGACATCTTGAGACGGACTTTACAGTTACAAGCACTATGCATGACATATTGAGACGGACTTTACAGTTACAAACACTCATCATGACATCTTGAGACGGACTTTACAGTTACAGACACTAAGCATGACATCTTGAGACGGACTTTACAGTTACAAACACTAAGCATGACATCTTGAGACGGACTTCACAGTTACAAGCACTCATCATGACATCTTGAGACGGACTTTACAGTTATAAACACTCATCATGACATCTTGAGACGGACTTCACAGTTACAGACACTAAGCATGACATCTTGAGACGGACTTCACAGTTACAAGCACTCATCATGACATCTTGAGACGGACTTTACAGTTACAAACACTCATCATGACATCTTGAGACGGACTTTACAGTTACAGACACTAAGCATGACATCTTGAGACGGACTTTACAGTTACAAACACTCAGCATGACATCTTGAGACGGACGTTACAGTTACAAACACTAAGCATGACATCTTGAGACTGACTTTACAGTTACAAGCACCAAGCATGACATCTTGAGACGGACTTCACAGTTACAAGCACTCATCATGACATCTTGAGACGGACTTTACAGTTACAGACACTAAGCATGACATCTTGAGACGGACTTTACAGTTACAAACACTAAGCATGACATCTTGAGACGGACGTTACAGTTACAAACACTAAGCATGACATCTTGAGACGGACTTTACAGTTACAAGCACCAAGTATGACATCTTGAGACGGACTTCACAGTTACAAGCACTCATCATGACATCTTGAGACGGACTTTACAGTTACAGACACTAAGCATGACATCTTGAGACGGACTTTACAGTTACAAACACTAAGCATGACATCTTGAGACGGACTTTACAGTTACAAGCACTAAGCATGACATCTTGAGACGGACTTCACAGTTACAAACACTCAGCATGACATCTTGAGACGGACTTTACAGTTACAGACACTAAGCATGACATCTTGAGACGGACTTTACAGTTACAGACACTAAGCATGACATCTTGAGACGGACTTCACAGTTACAGTCAGTATGACATCTTGAGACGGACTTTACAGTTACAAGCACTCATCATGACATCTTGAGACGGACTTTACAGTTACAAACACTCATCATGACATCTTGAGACGGACTTTACAGTTACAGACACTAAGCATGACATCTTGAGACGGACTTTACAGTTACAAACACTAAGCATGACATCTTGAGACGGACTTCACAGTTACAAGCACTCATCATGACATCTTGAGACGGACTTTACAGTTACAAACACTCATCATGACATCTTGAGACGGACTTCACAGTTACAGACACTAAGCATGACATCTTGAGACGGACTTCACAGTTACAAGCACTCAGCATGACATCTTGAGACGGACTTTACAGTTACAAGCACCAAGCATGACATCTTGAGACGGACTTCACAGTTACAAGCACTCATCATGACAACTTAGAGACGGACGTTACAGTTACAAGCACTCATCATGACATCTTGAGACGGACGTTACAGTTACAAACACTAAGCATGACATCTTGAGACTGACTTTACAGTTACAAGCACCAAGCATGACATCTTGAGACGGACTTTACAGTTACAGACACTAAGCATGACATCTTGAGACGGACTTTACAGTTACAAACACTAAGCATGACATCTTGAGACGGACTTTACAGTTACAAACACTAAGCATGACATCTTGAGACGGACTTTACAGTTACAAGCACCAAGCATGACATCTTGAGACGGACTTTACAGTTACAGACACTAAGCATGACATCTTGAGACGGACTTCACAGTTACAAACACTAAGCATGACATCTTGAGACGGACTTTACAGTTACAGACACTAAGTTACATGACATGACATTGAGACGGACTTTACAGTTACAAACACTCAAGCATGACATCTTGAGACGGACTTTACAGTTACAGACACTCAGCATGACATCTTGAGACGGACTTCACAGTTACAGTCAGTATGACATCTTGAGACGGACTTTACAGTTACAAGCACTATGCATGACATATTGAGACGGACTTTACAGTTACAAACACTCATCATGACATCTTGAGACGGACTTTACAGTTACAGACACTAAGCATGACATCTTGAGACGGACTTTACAGTTACAAACACTAAGCATGACATCTTGAGACGGACTTCACAGTTACAAGCACTCATCATGACATCTTGAGACGGACTTTACAGTTATAAACACTCATCATGACATCTTGAGACGGACTTCACAGTTACAGACACTAAGCATGACATCTTGAGACGGACTTCACAGTTACAAGCACTCATCATGACATCTTGAGACGGACTTTACAGTTACAAACACTCATCATGACATCTTGAGACGGACTTTACAGTTACAGACACTAAGCATGACATCTTGAGACGGACTTTACAGTTACAAACACTCAGCATGACATCTTGAGACGGACGTTACAGTTACAAACACTAAGCATGACATCTTGAGACTGACTTTACAGTTACAAACACTAAGCATGACATCTTGAGACGGACTTCACAGTTACAAACACTAAGCATGACATCTTGAGACGGACTTTACAGTTACAGACACTAAGCATGACATCTTGAGACGGACTTTACAGTTACAAACACTAAGCATGACATCTTGAGACGGACGTTACAGTTACAAACACTAAGCATGACATCTTGAGACGGACTTTACAGTTACAAGCACCAAGTATGACATCTTGAGACGGACTTCACAGTTACAAGCACTCATCATGACATCTTGAGACGGACTTTACAGTTACAGACACTAAGCATGACATCTTGAGACGGACTTTACAGTTACAAACACTAAGCATGACATCTTGAGACGGACTTTACAGTTACAAGCACTAAGCATGACATCTTGAGACGGACTTCACAGTTACAAACACTCAGCATGACATCTTGAGACGGACTTTACAGTTACAGACACTAAGCATGACATCTTGAGACGGACTTTACAGTTACAGACACTAAGCATGACATCTTGAGACGGACTTCACAGTTACAGTCAGTATGACATCTTGAGACGGACTTTACAGTTACAAGCACTCATCATGACATCTTGAGACGGACTTTACAGTTACAAACACTCATCATGACATCTTGAGACGGACTTTACAGTTACAGACACTAAGCATGACATCTTGAGACGGACTTTACAGTTACAAACACTAAGCATGACATCTTGAGACGGACTTCACAGTTACAAGCACTCATCATGACATCTTGAGACGGACTTTTACAGTTACACTTTACACACTAAGCATGACATCTTGAGACGGACTTTACAGTTACAGACACTAAGCATGACATCTTGAGACGGACTTCACAGTTACAAGCACTCATCATGACATCTTGAGACGGACTTTACAGTTACAAACACTAAGCATGACATCTTGAGACGGACTTTACAGTTACAGATACTAAGCATGACATCTTGAGACGGACTTTACAGTTACAAACACTCAGCATGACATCTTGAGACGGACTTTACAGTTACAAGCACTAAGCATGACATCTTGAGACGGACTTCACAGTTACAAGCACTCATCATGACAACTTAGAGACGGACGTTACAGTTACAAGCACTCATCATGACATCTTGAGACGGACTTTACAGTTACAAGCACTAAGCATGACATCTTGAGACGGACTTTACAGTTACAAACACTCATCATGACATCTTGAGACGGACTTTACAGTTACAGACACTAAGCATGACATCTTGAGACGGACTTTACAGTTACAAACACTCATCATCACATCTTGAGACGGATTTTACAGTTACAGACACTAAGCATGACATCTTGAGACGGACTTTACAGTTACAAACACTCATCATGACATCTTGAGACGGACTTTACAGCTACAGACACTAAGCATGACACCTTGAGACGGACTTCACAGTTACAAGCACTCATCATGACATCTTGAGACGGACTTTACAGTTACAAGCACTCATCATGACATCTTGAGACGGACTTTACAATTACAAACACTCAGCATGACATCTTGAGACGGACTTTACAGTTACAAGCACTAAGCATGACATCTTGAGACGGACTTCACAGTTACAAGCACTCATCATGACAACTTAGAGACGGACTATACAGTTACAAGCACTAAGCATGACATCTTGAGACGGACTTTACAGTTACAAGCACTAAGCATGACATCTTGAGACGGTCTTTACAGTTACAAACACTAAGCATGACATCTTGAGACGGACTTTACAGTTACAAGCACTAAGCATGACATCTTGAGACGGACTTCACAGTTACAAGCACTCATCATGACATCTTGAGACGGACTTTACAGTTACAGACACTAAGCATGACATCTTGAGACGGACTTTACAGTTACAAACACTAAGCATGACATCTTGAGACGGACTTTACAGTAACAAGCACTAAGCATGACATCTTGAGACGGACTCCACAGTTACAAGCACTAAGCATGTCATCTTGAGACGGACTTTACAGTTACAAACACTAAGCATGACATCTTGAGACGGACTTTACACTTACAAACACTAAGCATGACATCTTGAGACGGACTTTACAGTTACAAGCACTAAGCATGACATCTTGAGACGGAGTTCACAGTTACAAACACTCAGCATGACATCTTGAGACGGACTTTACAGTTACAGACACTAAGCATGACATCTTGACACGGACTTACAGTTACAGACACTAAGCATGACATCTTGAGACGGTCTTCACAGTTACAGTCAGTATGACATCTTGAGACGGACTTTACAGTTACAGACACACAGCATGACATCTTGAGACGGTCTTTACAGTTACAAACAGTCAGCATGACATCTTGAGACGGACTTAACAGTTATAAACAGTCAGTATGACATCTTGAGACGGACTTTACAGTTACAAACAGTCAGTATGACATCTTGAGACGGTCTTTACAGTTACAAACAGTCAGTATGACATCTTGAGACGGTCTTTACAGTTACAGACACTAAGCATGACATCTTGAGACGGACTTTACAGTTACAAACACTAAGCATGACATCTTGAGACGGACTTTACAGTAACAAGCACTAAGCATGACATCTTGAGACGGACTCCACAGTTACAAGCACTAAGCATGTCATCTTGAGACGGACTTTACAGTTACAAACACTAAGCATGACATCTTGAGACGGACTTTACACTTACAAACACTAAGCATGACATCTTGAGACGGACTTTACAGTTACAAGCACTAAGCATGACATCTTGAGACGGAGTTCACAGTTACAAACACTCAGCATGACATCTTGAGACGGACTTTACAGTTACAGACACTAAGCATGACATCTTGAGACGGACTTCACAGTTACAGACACTAAGCATGACATCTTGAGACGGTCTTCACAGTTACAGTCAGTATGACATCTTGAGACGGACTTTACAGTTACAGACACACAGCATGACATCTTGAGACGGTCTTTACAGTTACAAACAGTCAGCATGACATCTTGAGACGGACTTAACAGTTATAAACAGTCAGTATGACATCTTGAGACGGACTTTACAGTTACAAACAGTCAGTATGACATCTTGAGACGGTCTTTACAGTTACAAACAGTCAGTATGACATCTTGAGACGGTCTTTACAGTTACAGACACTAAGCATGACATCTTGAGACGAAAGTGAAATATTCTGGCAATGAGAATTACTCATAGATCGTTGAATACCGAAACAACAGGGGTAGGTAGTGCTGCTAACCCGCCTTGTGTTGGAAGACATGTTGTTGTTACAGATACAGTTGGTCACAGTCCATGGTCGCATTTCTCTGCTGTATGTTGGCTGTATGGCAAGTACTTGTACAACACTCTCAAGAAACCTATAGGATTGGTGGCGTCATCTTGGGGAGGGACCCCTATAGAGACCTGGTCCACACAAGACTCACTCTCGAAATGCAGGTGAAGAGATACATGTAATTAATCATAAGCTGTATTGCATCAACCATCATAATATCTAAATGATAACATACACGCTACATAACGGAAAATGCGCCCCGAGTCTATAAATACTTTAAAGACTCGAAGGACAGTATAGATTGTACCTGTCTCTCTGTCTGCCTGTCTCTCTCTCTGGTATTCAGAAGTGATACAATGAATTAAGAAGCGAGGAGATTTGCAAATTTATCTACTTAATACATTTAACATAATTCTACGTTGACTCAATAATGTAGGACGTCATTTTCTAGTATTTGGGATAAGGTTTCATATTGTTGATATGATTTCCTTTACAGAAACGAGTCAACGCAGCATGTATATGACAGGTTGGACGTGCCCCCTCCTAGAAGAGATTCGGTTCTCTGGAACGCCATGATACATCCTCTTGTTAACATGACAATCTACGGCGCCATTTGGTATCAAGGTGAGTCAAGTAATGTAAGTCCATGATGTCTTCATTGATAAGGATTGATACTTTTTAAATTACAATTTATTGTATGATTGTGAATATCTGCAGGAGAAGCAAATGCCGACAAACCTGGTTTGTATAACTGCACCTTCCCTGCTATGATCGACGACTGGAGGGTCAAGTTCAACCAGGCTTCAGATGGAGCAACGTCAAACAAGTTTCCTTTTGGCTTTGTACAGGTTGGCTTCGAACAGTTGTATCCATATATATATATACAAAGGTACACATATATACACTGAGATATACATACCCATACAAAGGTACACATACATACACTTAGATATACATACCTTACAAAAGTACACATACATATACACTTAAATATACATACCCACACAAAGGTACACATACATACACTTAGATATACATACCCACACAAAGGTACACATACATACACTTAGATATACATACCCATACAAAGGTACACATACATGCACTTAGATATACATACCCATACAAAGGTACACATACATACACTTACATATACATACCCATACAAAGGTACACATACATACACTTAGATACAAATACCCACACAAAGGTACACATACATGCACTTAGATATACATACCCATACAAAGGAACACATACATACACTTAGATACAAATACCCACACAAAGGTACACATACATGCACTTAGATATACATACCCATACAAAGGTACACATACATACACTTACATATACATACCCATACAAAGGTACACATACATACACTTAGATACAAATACCCACACAAAGGTACACATACATGCACTTAGATATACATACCCATACAAAGGTACACATACATACACTTAGATACAAATACCCACACAAAGGTACACATACATGCACTTAGATATACATACCCACACAAAGGTACACATACATACGCTTAGATATACATACCCATAAAAAGGTACACATACATACGCTTAGATATACATACCATACAAAGGTACACATACATGCACTTAGATATACATACCCATACAAAGGTACACATACATACACTTAGATACAAATACCCACACAAAGGTACACATACATGCACTTAGATATACATACCCACACAAAGGTACACATACATGCACTTAGATATACATACCCATACAGAGGTACACATACATACACTTAGATATACATACCCACACAAAGGTACACACACATACACTTAGATATACATACCCACACAAAGGTACACATACATGCACCTAGATATACATACCCATACAAAGGAACACATACATACGCTTAGATATACATACCCATAAAAAGGTACACATACATACGCTTAGATATACATACCATACAAAGGTACACATACATACACTTAGATATGCATACCCATACAAAGGTACACATACATACACTTAGATATACATACCCATACAGAGGTACACATACATACACTTAGATATACATACCCACACAAAGGTACACACACATACACTTAGATATACATACCCACACAAAGGTACACACACACATACACTTAGATATATATAACATACAAAGGTACACATACATACACTTAGATATAAATACCATAGAAAGGTACACATACATACACTTAGATATACATACCATAGAAAGGTACACATACATACACTTAGATATACATACCATAGAAAGGTACACATACATACACTTAGATATACATACCATACAAAGGTACACATACATACACTTAGATATAAATACCATAGAAAGGTACACATACATACGCTTAGATATACATACCCATAAAAAGGTACACATACATACGCTTAGATATACATACCATACAAAGGTACACATACATACACTTAGATATACATACCCACACAAAGGTACACACACATACACTTAGATATACATACCCATACAAAGGTACACATACATGCACTTAGATATGCATACCCACACGAAGGCTATGTGTCAGCCTCGCAGTCATCTTCCTGGATGAGGATATCTGTTGCTGAATGAATAGTTACACGAACTTCATCCCGATATCGGAAGGCAGATACCTCACCAGATCTTGACGCTACTGCCTCCAAATGGCGGGACATAAACACAACTGAGACCAGAGATTCACCTACCCGTCTGTATACTCGCTGCTGACCGTTTGTCTGTACCAAACATTGTCTATTCTCATCGGAGAACACGACGTATCCTGAGCATCGCACTTGCAAACGTCGAATTCACCTGACCCATTTCAACCTGCCACATCGGTGTTGACGTGTTCCACTCAACCCGCATCCATGGACGTCGTCACACGTTTCTTCGCCCATTTTCTCACGTCTGTCCATTCATTGTAAACGGACCCTTAGTCCGCAGGGTAACATTCAACATGTCCACTTCCACCACAGATACATTCAAATCATTAGTTACCTTGTTTTGTCGGTAGTGTAGATGTACGTTTTAAACATAGTCCACCTAGGGATAATTGCATGTGGTGCATACTCAAAAGGCACAGCAGAATGTAAAAGTGGAAAACAAATGTCCATGTGGATATAAATTAACATCGTTTCTTATCTTGTAATTGTACATATGCATATAATGCACTCAAGCATGGTAATGTGTGCGTGTGGTGATAATTATGCACTGTGCAGCTTGCCGCAGACAGGAATGGCTCAGTTCAGACCGGTTTTCCCGGAGTCCGCTGGTCGCAGACAGCGGGATTCGGCTACGTCCCTAACGAGAGGATGAAGAACGTCTTCATGGCTGTTGCTATGGACCTGCCAGACTTCTCATCGCCATATGGAAGGTGACGTATTTGCATTTTTATGAAAGTAATTCGGGATGATAGCAGTTTTTACGTTTTATTAATGACAATATTATTTGTGGACTTTAAGATGACTGTATGTATTGGCAGTGTTCATCCCAGAGACAAGCAGGACGTGTGTCAGCGCCTGGTACGATCAGGCTTATCCGTGGCTTACAACAAGCCCGGCATGCAGTACCAGGGGCCGATACCCGACATGTTCTCCTACAACACACAGATGAAGTACATCACTGTAGACTATGGGTTTTCCGGACACACAATTGATGTTCGTTCTTCAGACGGCTTCGAGGTAAACGTTTGTTCGTTCGTGAATAAGTTTAGTTTTACGCCGCACTCAGCAATATTCCACCTAGATCATGGCGGCGGTCTGTAAATAATCGAGTCAGGACCAGACAATCCACTGATCAACAGCATGAATATCGATCTGCGCAATTGGGAACCAATGACATGTGTCAACCAAGTCAGCGAGCCTGACCACCCGAAGTAGTATACACACTGGGGGTACTAGACCAAGTCCAACAAAAGCCTCTGTAAAGCTTCATTTATGAAATAAAGCTTTTGTTAGGCTCTTATCTCTCTCCGCTATTGTATATACCAGATTTGAACCCCCAGTTAACTTCCTGGTCACTATGACCACGAACCAACACTTTCCTGATCACGTGACATGTCGTGTTGACAGGAAACAGTTTAATGTGACAGGATACTATTAGGATTACTCAACAGTAAGTGTTAAATATTTTGCTTGGGGGGTAACATTGTGTCGTATGGTATGACCAATAATTCCTCTCTGACGAAACCTCTCCCTGGCCCATCATTCAAGTAGTACAAGTTCGGCTCGTCGGCTTTGATGTTCACTTTATCTATGTTGTAAATTTTGACTGACCATGTCGGGTTGGTGGCTCGTTTCCGAGTGTCTCCTTCATGTTCTGCCGGCTGGTAGAGGTACCTCACTAGGACCCGGTCGGTATCTGTTTCTCCTTCCCACGCAATGGTGCAGCCAGTTCGGCCGTCACTGATTTCAGTTTGATAGCGTCGGCCGGTTTCTTGCCGGTGAGCCGAGTGGTTTCGTGGTTGATAGCCGACACCACTTGAGGTAGCCGCGCTACCCATTCAGTCGATCGTTTTCCCGGGTTGGCCATCTCTCTCGCATACTGATGCCCGAATAAGCGCTCTGCCAAAGTCCGATTGAATCTCTCAACTATGGCTTTACTGCGATGAGCCCCGGCAGTGCCACGCCTGACCTGGCCACCGTGCTTGGCTAGCAGTTGTGACATGGCACCCATGAACTCCTGTCCGGGATCGACTTGCAGTTCCATGGGCCATGTCAGCCCATGTCAGCTGCGTTTGTGTATGCGTTCGAATCCGCGGGCTACCTGGGCCGAGTCTTTCGCGGTTAAGGGTTCGGCTTCTTTGTAGCGGCTGGCCACGTCCACGACGGTTAGGGCATACTTGTACCTCCTGTCGTGGGGTAGGAACAGGAGGTCGGCCTGTTGGATGCTATTGGTTATGCCAATGCCGAAACTTTCTTCTCGGCACGTAGGGTGGTGCCGGTAAATAGATCTGCCACAAGGCTTGTTTTTCAAGCCACGCTTTGGCCTCGTCCGGGGGTACTCTTGCCATTTCGGCAAGCTTATGTATGGCTCTCGCTCCTTTCCAGTACCCATGCGGGCTGTAGTAAATAGCTTCAAACTTTCTCTCTTTCCGTGACATCGTATATACACCTATGTTCTTGGTTCAATTTTCTCATGCCTGTACGCGTACGTGTTGATCCCGTCGATGGCTATCCAACGCTTCGTGTCCATCGGCGACAGGGACGTCGTTTATCGTCAGTCCGTATATCGTCTGTCCTTCGCTTCTCAGCGTGTTCATCTGATGCTTGAAGGTGTGGGCCCTGAACAGGGCCACCTTGAACCTGGCGTGTTTGATGTGTTGTTTCACCACGTACTTCTTGACACCCTTCGCCTTACGGATCTCGCTATTGTCGGCTTTCAGGATGGAGTACATCTTGGGCTTCAAGCCTATGTACTCAGCTATGGGCGTGCCAGCATACTCGTCCTTCATCTTACCGAGGACCTTTTTGTTAACTGTGCTGTGCATGGCATGGTCCTTGGGGTAGTCACTGGTGTCGTATAAATGGATGTGTTTTGCCATGTCCTCCTACACGTCTTCGGTTCGAATCTCCATCAGCAGGGAGTCCGTGTTCGGGTACAGCACTTCGCATCTGTCGCCGTACTGCTTCTTGAGCTCGTTGTAGTAGAAGTCGTACATCAGGTGCTTGGAGAGGTCGAGGATGCTCATCCCCACGTAAACAGGCCGGTTGAACTTGATGTGGCTTTTCCTCATATGTAGGGCCACCAGATCGTTGGTGAATATCTTGCTCTGGTTGAATGCTGGGCTGGCTATCAGTCTCCTGAGCTTGTCTTCCTCTTTCGCCAGGACAAGCTTCACGGTCACGCGTTTTCGCAAATTCTCCATTGTCTTACCGAACACCGAGTTGTTCATGAGCTTGTAGAGATTCTTCTCGAAGTCACTGGTGGCCAGCTTTCGCAGGTCTGTGTTCATTCTGATGTAGGGCTCCATCCACGGGCTCTGGTCGAACTTGAGCACCCTATGGGTTTTAGTTAGCCTCATACCAAGCAACAGGTACAGCTGCAGGTTACGATAGTGAACGATGTACTTGGTCTTGTTCATCAAGTTGGGTACGAGTTTTTCAACGTTGGCTAGCTTATTACCCCCCACCCTCCTTTGGTAGTCGGACATCCAGTCCGGGTTCACCATCAAAAATTCTGGGGCCAGGGGGTAGCTGTTGTGTGACTTATGTAATGCTGTTGGGTACTCCAAGTCAACTTCGAGTATGTAACCTACCCCCGAATCCGGCGGTATGCTCATGACGTCTATCTCAGGCACCCACTCGAACCTCCCGGTGGGTAGATACTGGCTCATGGCCCAACCGTACAGGTTGTTGGCGTCGAGATAGAGGAGATGATTAATGGGTTTGCTAGCATCGTAGCCCTTCACGTACTTATTGTTGGCTTTCGTGTAGCGTTTGGCAGCCATGGAAATCCCACCTCGCAATCCTTTCTCGATGAACAGGTGCATGTCGTGATCGGTGAGGAGTTCCAGCTTAACTCCGGTTTTCTTCAGCAACGCATCCCAAGAGAGACCGGGGCTGGTGTAGTACCACGCGGGGTCGAGTTGATACTGCTTAAAACACGTCTTTCTGAACGTCTCGAACACGTCAGCCAGCAGGAGCACGTCAGTTCTCAAGTACAGGTCGTGGTAATCGCCCAGATTCTTGCAGCCCAGTTTATTTCATACGTTAATTGCGTGCGAGTATTCACCCTCCGTGATGGACGAGTCGGTCAAGTTGCTGTAAAATTCCCTGATTGGGGGTAGTCGGGTCTCGGCGAACTTGGCCCAGCCATCCATGTACTCGTAGGGGTAAACACCCTTCCTCATCAGCAGGGGCCGAGTCTCGGCGTCGGTGTATCGATCAGTGATGGGGAAGGTATCGTTAGCTTGGACCAAACTATCGAGAGACGACAGTAGGAACTGAACTGAGTCTATGAACCTCAGGCCGTTCAGGCTGAAGGAGATGTATCTCTCCATGTTGTTGGGGATACATGTCAGGTTTCCGTCGACTTTCGCGATGGCCTGCATGATCAAGTGAGAGTCGTACCCTCTCAAGTTGTGGAAGACCACGGGGATGTTGATCGTTTTGGGGTTGATTCTTAGCTTGAGGTTGCACGCGTTGTGAGCGGCGCCTTTGTACTCGCCGGTGACATGGCAGTGATCTCTCACCGAATCGCCGTTCAGCGGGCCGTCACACACGTGGCAGTGCGTGCTGCAGCCGTGAGCTCGCCGATCGGCTTGGGTCATACGCATGGGGACGACATTGTACAATTTCTTCCTGATGGTTTTCTCTTCCTCCTGCAAACACTTTAGAAACTTTTCAGCCGCGTCGGGACCCCTGTACACCACGGGAGCGTTCGTTTCCCCATCACATCGGACGACCACGTATCCGAACCCACAGGCCTCGTGCTCCTGCGTTTTGTATGTGTTGGGAGCCGGGCCGATGTCAACAGGTTTGACGAGGGCTTCGAAGTCGGCGTAAATGATGTAAGGTACGGACATCTGATTCTTGTGGTTGTCGAATTTTAGGATATTGTCGCCTTCCTTGGGCATGTCGATTCGTATGGCCGTCTGCCCCACACCTAGGCAATACTCCCGGTCGGATTCTAATAAACCAGCTCGGGTGAAACCATGCAGGCACCGTTCACAGAAGTGACTCTTTTCTCGGTGTGCCGATTGGTCGTACAACAGCCTGCTGAAGTATTTTATCCACGCATAGTGATACTTGTCACCTCGCCGGATCATGAATATATTGATCACGTGGCGACCCTCCATTGGGCTGATCCTGAGCACGATCGTTTTATTACCTTCGTGCCCAAAGACGTTGACGGCTATATCATTCTGTTTCTCGATTTTGGTGACCTGGGATATGGGGGGTGGGTTCGTCTATACCAGCCCAGTTGAGCCCATCATCTTGGGGATAGCTCGAAGGTCTGTCCGAATGTATGTCGGCCGGAAAACAAGGCTGACCTGATCGCTAACCTCATGCAATCGTCCCCTCTGTTTTTGATGTTGACCATGGCCTTTTTTTTCTTGTAGTAGGGGGGCAAGTCTAGGTAGGATTCCCCCCTGAATGGTACGTAGTTAGCTATGCCTAGATAGAGTTTATCGATTTTATCTACGGCCCACCTGGAACCCCTGTGCGTGAAGCGTTTCAGGGTCTCTCGTATTTGTTGAAGACTGGTATTGATGGACGCGTCTATCGTCTCGGCATGAGTCACGATTTCTTGTTTACCCCGGAAGTAAGGCTGAACGTACTCAACGACACCATTCTGCTGTTTATCGAGCGACATCTTTGCCGTTATTTGAAACTTTAGACTTCCCAAATTGTTCAGTTCCTCATTAACTTTGTCAGCGATCAGCGGCTTGACGTCGCCGATGTCTATGTTCTTATCCACATGCATGCGCCAGCCTCTGAGATAGTTACCTACAGCGTGTTCAGTGTGCACGAACTCTAGATCAACGACTCTGTGCTGATGTAACAGTTCAACGAGCTCAGGCTTCCTCATACGGGAATAACCTACTAACCCCAGCTCTCGGGCTTCCTGTTTGAGTTGTTTCACAGTGTGGGGACGTACGGGTCGTGCAACAGTGCGACTAGCCCAGCTTTCCTCATACGGGAATAACCAGTCAACCCCAGCTCTATGGCTTGGCGTT